TCACAATGTTATAGACCTCTATCATATCCCCCCTTGGTCATCTCTTTTCCAAGCTGAAAAGTCCCAGTCTTATTAACCTCTCCTCACATGGTAGCCGTTCCATACCCCTAATCATTTTTGTTGCCCTTTTCTGAACTTTTTCCAATTCCAATATGTCTTTTTTGAGATGGGGCGACCACATCTGCAGGCAGTATTCAAGGTGTGGGCATACCATGGATTTATATAGAGGCAATGTGACATTTTCTGTCTTATTATCTATCCCTTTCTTAACAATTCCCAACATTTGGTTCGTTTTTTTGACTGCGGCTGCACATTGAGTGGATGTTTTCAGAGAAACATCTGGAGAGTGTGTACACCTTCCAGGTGCTTATAGCTGACTAGTATGTTCCTCCCTGACGTTTAACCAAGCCAAGTGTATTTTGTTCTATTAACGTTCCACATAAGGCACTGCCTCCACCCTTCCTTGATCCTTGTTGTTTCTCTTCCCTGAGTTTCTTCAGTTTGTCAACATCTTTCTAGAGGTACCCAGAAGTGAATGCTAATATGGGGGCCCAATCCCACGACCACTTTGTGCTTCGACACAAAGCATCCTGCACCTTGGCAGGGGGTTATACCAGACGCATCTTGCAGTCCCGTCTAACCCTATGGTTCCACGATTCTAGAACTCCCACTGCCATCAGTGGGAGTGTCCACACATTCCTGGAGATATTTGGGTGCCTGGTGTGGTGAAGGCCCCAACCCGGCAAAGCGCTTAAGCACAAGAACAGCCCCACTGACTCCAATGGGTTCTCATGCCTATAGTTAAGCATGAGCTTAGTTATTTTGTGGGACCAGGGGCTAAGAGGTGAACATGGATATTACTTAAAACTTGGTGTGACAGATGCTATGGACACATGGACTATCCAAACACTATTGTATAAACTCTATAAATGTTACCTGTATCTGTATGGGCTAGGGATTGTATTCTGCTCCACTGGGGAGCTAATGAGTTTCCTGCAGCAACTAAAATCACCAGGGTCAAAGTGAGGGAAAGGTGGTTAATACAAATCCCTGGACAGGTAATGAATTTGGAGAAGCCTGCACTCCTGCAGAGACCTGCTTTGACCTGACTAAAGAAGCCAGACAAAGGAAAGAATTGAAAACTGGAGAAAGTGACCACCTGGACATAGGGAGAGAGGTCATTCTCACCCGACCCAGCGAAAGACATGAGACTGTGGCCTCAGGGATATGCCTTGTGAGAGGAACTGATGGGACTTTGGAAGGGTCTCCATGTGGAAGATCGTGGGTGACTCCTGGTGAGCTTGACACATCTAAAAGCTGTTTATTGTTTTCAAGCTGTGTTTTCCCTGTATTGCTTCTGTCCAGAACAAAGAGTACTTTGCTTTGTGAAAGCCGACTACTCACTGCTTAACCCTGTTATTGCCCCTGAGAAAACAGGACTGCAAGTGCGTCAGCCTTGTCAAGGAGATCACTGCAAATCTGCAGGAATCTGCAGCCTAAAACCCTGGAGAGGACGGGATGGTGGGATCCCAACCTGAGAAAAGTGATGGCTAGAGGCCTGAGATGGGGGGGGCCCTGCCCCCAAGGAGGCCATGAAGCAGTGAGCAGTGCATTTCCCTTGGGAACTGAGACACCTGGAATCCCCAAACTTCTCCTGGTTTTTTTAGCTGAAAGATTCCAGATGGATTGAGAAAAGTTATGCAGGCTCAGGGCGAAATAACTACTGCACTTAAAAAAATGTGCATTTTTCCAGACTGAGCCACTTTCCTTCTTAAACCAGTAGAAATGCCTGTCTGATGCCATAAAAAGCATATCATCCCCCGGCGCGCAACTCAAAATCAAAAGACCCAGTTTAAATAAAATTATGTGAAGGGTGGATGGGAATCAAAGTCATGCATGCCGTCCTGTATTACATAGCATGGTTCAGCCTTGCACTATCTGAAGCAACCACAGTATATTCAATTTCTTTCTTTACCCTAGAATATATATTTTTGCAAGAACACCCAGATCGGCAATGTTAATTTCATCGTCAGTGTTATGAAACAGGCTCCTAGAGCCCCAGCTGGCGGTTCAGCTGCAGGGAGGGACCTATGCACTCCTCATGACTCTGACATCAGGTCTGGAGCCTGCAAGAGTTTAAAAAAATCAAATGTAACTCATAGAGATGAAAGGAAAGCCCATCTCTTCAGAGATTTGTGTGCATATTCTCTTAGGAACAAAAAATATAATCCTGCTGCACAACTGCAATGTGTGAAACAGCCACAGGACTTCCTGGCAGAAGAACTCATCAACAAGCTTTCCCCACTTCCCTTTTGTGAAAGTTTCACTCTGTTCCACTGATCCGGCTTCTTCTTTGTCTCTGGCCCCACCTCCCCCCTGACTCCCATCAATAGCTGAGTCAGCCTAGCGACAATGTTGCCCTGTGGCCGCCTCTTGTAACATAGCAGGAAGACCTGCCTCTGGAGTGTGCTCTTGACACATTTCTTGGGTTTTCTTTCTTGCTCTCCAGTAAGTTATTTTGCTGTTATTCCTCATTCACACACTGAGAGAGAGAGAGAGGGAACCAATGGCCCATATATTCAGCAGCTCATTATCAGTGAATTGTGCTAGGGGTCTCCTATACCTCCTCTTCCTCTGTCCCCACTGCCCCCAGCACTCATATTTGCCATGTAGCTTAATCTCTGCAATGACAGGTGCCTGGACTGAGTGTTCAGAGCTCAGCACTTGCCTGCATAGGAGAGTGCTTGTCTAGATTTCATCCTCATTGTTACATACATTTTAATTACAATGCTGTCATCCTTTCCTGGAAACAAAGACATTGAAGCACCAATCCAAACAGAGGTTATATCAAGCTTTGCATATTTTATTGATAGTCGGCCATATAGTCTTCTTCCTGGCATTTATAGTCCCATTATCAGCTTTCTGGCCTTGCTCCTTGTCTCACTTCCTCATTAGAGCTAGGAAATCAAATGAATGTGTGGAGCAGCTGGACCCACTAGAGGAGAGCTCCCAAAGCAAAGTCAGAAGAGAAACATGCTAATGGGGCAATCATCTGCTCTTTAGTGTAGCGCTTCATTCACAGAAAATACCCCTTGCATGCAGTGCTGTACTGACATCCAGAAAGATTCCTGGCCCTTCTGTTGCGCCTACGGAGACTTATTCTGTTTTCCATATCAATTACTTTGTAAATCTGAAATAACATTAAATAAATGTTATCAGACTTGGGTTAGAAGGGACTGCAAGATTCATCTGGTCTAGCCCTGTCCTTTTGTATTTTCCTCTGAGTCACTGGTCAATTTAGGAAATCTTTTGCGTTCACAAGGGAGACCACATGCCTTCCGTTTGAGCCCAACAGGTTTGATGCTTCTTTTTACTTCTGGCTCATCAACGATCCTGATCCAAGCAGGGTGGATCCTTGCTTGTATGTGGAGTCCTCTTGAAGCCAATGGGTCAACCAGGCACATGCAAGGGACTGCCCACATGGGTTCGATTGCAGAATAGGGGCCCATGACAGCAGTTCCTCCCTTCGCACCCCACTTCTATCTTATTAGTTGCTTCCTTGCTAACAGTCTGAATAGGTTTGGGTTCTCTGGGTCCTTGTGGAGTATAGGAAGTCCTCTAGTTGTAATACTTACATGCTCAAGTGGAGACTAATATCCTAGCAGTGTTTCATGGGGTACTAGCCCTGTCGTCTCTTATTTTTAAATATTCTGACTACTTCTGGATTGCCGTTTCCTCTGTTTTGCTGTCAAATTTGCAAATATGTCTAAGTCAACTCCTCTCTTCTCATCCTCTTGTGGTTCACTTTAGCCCTCCCCATTCCTCTCCAGCTCCTTTCTGTCCCTCATGAAGTCTTGAGGGTCTCCTGCTCTACATCCACCACCTTTCGAGGCTCTGTGTCATGGCTAGCATCTGTACATCTGCTGCTCTCCTCTCCACCTGCCAGCCTAGGGAATGAGAGAGAGAAATTAAACACAGGACTCTCACAAACCAGAGGTTTTGGGTCATTTTTCTGTGAGATTTGCTCTGTTTCTCTTTTGCTCAAGTTCCATGTTAACACCAAGGAAACTTAATTTGTTCTTTGGTAAAAAAGCAGCTTCCTTTGGAACCTCTGAAGAATGAATACTTTGCTCTCAGCACCTCTTTTCCCTATGCCAAGAATGTATCAATTTCCTTCTTGACATCACCTGTGAATTTAGGCTGGGCTTTAAAAGCCAAGCTGCATTCTTCCCACCTAGAACACCAACATGAGTAAGAAAAGTCGTACAAGACAAAGTAAGCTCTCAGTGACACCTGAGTGGTTCCAATGGGTGTAACTGATCAGAACTCAATAAACAAATTTTGCTGTTGAGCAATATGGAATAGAATCCAGCTCCCTGTCTCTTAGCTGTGTTGGCTGTATAGTGAAACAGGAATATAAAGCAAGAAATGCTCTTGTCATCAAACTAGAGAGAGAGATTTATTAATAGGTGACTGAATGCACAAAAAGACCAGACCAGTTGAGTAAGAAGATGCCCATTTTTAATTCGTCATCTTTTTCAGAGGAGAAGCACATTCGAACCAATGTTTCCTTCTCTCATCTTAAGTGGGTGATAGCCATCACCAATTCAGTGTGAAGAGTATTCTTTTGTCTTTCCCATTGATAGTGTGAAAGAATTCTATTTATGGGAGTCTGGCCATCTTTCTGTGGTCTGTGTGCATTGTTTAAGGGACAGCAATCTTCGTCCAAGTGAAGTATAATTTTATTTCTATTGTTTGGGCAAAGTTTTAGTTTCTGAGCATCCTTATGCATACTCCCACCCCCCACCCCTGTTTAGTGACTACTTTGTCAGCCTGTTTTCAACAGGTACTGATAGCTGTGATTTGCCAGGCAGCCCCTGGAGTTCTGCCCGTACTTTTTGTGAGCACTGTTGCCATGATACCGAACATAGAGCAGATGTTTATTTCAACAGAGATGTTTCTAATTCCTTTTCAACGTTTTTCTCAGGCTGCCATCATGCGTGAATGCTGCTTTCTAGGAGCCAAGTACAGCCAGGGCCCAAGAGGCAGGCACTGTCCCTGCAGCTGATTCAGAAGAAAGTGGGGGTGGGAGAAACTGGGGAAATGCATAGAGAGAAACCTGACTGTGCTGGGAGTTCTTTAGCCCAAACATTTGGTAGGGGTGGTGAGAGTCTGGGGACTCCCAAGACTAACAGCATTTTCATGGCTAATGAAAAGTAACACCCTCCCTCTTCCCTAGCTCTTTGTTTTGCCTTCCTTTTCATCCCCTCACAACCTACTTTTCCTCCTTTAGCTCATGTACCTGGCCCTTCCCTGGACTCACCTATACCTCAACTGCTGCGATTGCAACCAGATAAATTGAAGCAAGGGAGGACCAGAAATGCATTAGTGTTTGGAGGTACATGCTCCCTTTTCTCCTCCCCTTCTTGAGGTAGTGTCTCCTGTCTGGGACTGACAAGAGGTGTTGCTCATAGCTGGATGAGTTTTCTCCTTCCTTCCTTTCTTTCACCTCTCCTAATTTTCTTCTCATTTTTTCCTCTCTGCTTGTTTCTCTTCTTCCATACTTCATCTCGCCTTTAACACCTGTTGTCTCTCATTACCCCCTTTCTTTCTCAAGTTGTTCCTCTCTGGCTTCTTGATTTCTTTTTTGCAGGTGTGGATCAGCATTCCCACTCTGTGGGCCGAAGATGATCTGCTCACAAAAAGTACCAGAGCACCATTACATCACTGCTCTCCTCCCAGAGGTATGCTTGGGATGGTATGTTGGACAAATCCCACTTGGAAATTCACTTGGGTACTACTGTGACATACTCCTGGAGTGGATGCTTTTTTAGTATAGGTTTCAGAGGAACAGCCGTGTTAGTCTGTATTCGCAAAAAGAAAAGGAGTACTTGTGGCACCTTAGAGACTAACCAATTTATTTGAGCATGAGCTTTCGTGAGCTACAGCTCACTTCATCAGTGTAGCTCACGAAAGCTCATGCTCAAATAAATTGGTTAGTCTCTAAGGTGCCACAAGTACTCCTTTTCTTTTTTTAGTATAGGAATTCTCTTTAGCGCCAGCTTCCTGTTGTTGCTCCTATATAGAGAAATGTTTTTAATTCTATAAATACAGTATGTTTTATTTTAAAAAATGACTGACTGGGCTGGAGGAATGATAGAACATGAATAGAGCTTCTCACTGACTTCCTTCAGCCCTTCTATGGTTGTGTTCACACTATTTTTGTATTCCAAGGGAGAGCTTTGGTGAAATTTCAGTTTCCTTCTAGAAGAGAAATTAGACGAGGGGAAGGGGCTCTTAAAAGCATAAGTAACTGTGCTAGCAGAGATGTGAATCCATGAAAACTTTCATTGGAGAAAGCTCTCTAACAAACTAACCTTCCAGTGGTGCAGACGATACAGGATTGGGCCTAAATTAACTAAGACTTCCAATGCCCCTGCGAAGTAGGTAAATATCCTCTTCATTTTACAGATGAGGATATGGTGCCAAGAGAAGTTAAGTGATTTCCAAAGGCCATATGGCTAGTCAGGGGTAGAGCCAAGAATAGAAATATGGAGTCTTGCCTTCCAGTACAGTGCAAAATAGCTTGTGTATAACCACTGCAGAGGGAAACCATAGTCCCCCCCTCCCCCCTCCACAAAAAAGACGACTTTTCTGGCACAATTAAAAAGGGCCTTGGGAATTGTGTAAACATTTTTATTCTATTGTACTTCACTCAGATGTTTGGATCGGATATATCTTTAGTGCAGGGTAGCACAGACTGTCTGGTACACAATATGCACAGTACAAGTGCGTGCAGCTATATTAATGAAACATTTTGGAGAACTCCAGTTAGTGTGGAGTAATCCGAGTTGTGTACTCGCTTCTGTAGGTTAAAGTTGGATCCTGGGCATTCTGTGCAATTTGTTTAGTTTAACAGGAATAATTATTTGAAGAAAGAAGTTAGTTCACATCTATAACCAGCCTTTTGAAACCAGCCAGCACTGATTAAACTTTTGTCAATCTGTTCTACTCAGAGTGGGTGTGAGTAGTTCATTGTTCAAATCACACACAGTTAGAGCACTCTCTCCATACCAAAGCAGTGAAGAAAATGAGACCTAGATATTAATACTGTGCTTTCAGCAGCAAGATTATCTAGTTTCTGACCTTTTCAGAATGAATTTAATCTATAGAAGATTGACTTGTGTAAACCAGATTCTGTATTAAAATACATAACTCACTGCAGTTAAGGTGAACAGTATACCTTGAACTTCTGATCAAGTAGTTCAGTTTGTTCCTAACTCTTAGTCACTGTACTGACTCACCACTGTTTTTCCCTATCCACCCTCCTTATATCTAATATAGAACACCTGAATAAAGTCAAGTCACAGCTTTTTGTTCCTACTAAATAAGATTATAGTGTGTGTCAAAGAAAAACTCTCAGGAAAAAGAGAGAGAATTAAAGCCAAGTTCATCAAGCCCAAGGACATAGCAACAGCTTTTCTCTTACAGAAATTCATCTGCTCCCTCCTAACGGGTTTCCTTGGTCTTTTTATATTGTGTCCTGTATGTGAGGTGCCTGTTTGTGAGCTCATATGGAGAAGCAACAGCAACAAGGATTTACCAGGCTTTTCATATGGTGGCACGAGCAATAGGCCACCTGAGCCTTCTTAATTAGTAAAAGCATTAGTATTAGTTAATTACAGGGTGGTAAATAATTATCTAACAATTTTTTTGGTTCTTTCGGTAAGATTCCTCCACTTCACAGCCTGGCTTGATAGTTCAGTCATTACACAACCGGCTGTTTTGTCCTAATTCCCTCTCAGGTTTTTCGTTCAGTCTCCAGCCACCATGTCCAGGAGTCTTCTAACTGAATGTGATGTCGCTGACTGACTGCCACATTCTACTAGAACCTTCTACTTCTACATTTTAACCTAGAACCTGACATCCCTGTCACTGCAACAATGATTCACAAAACTGTCATGTATGTGACCAGAATAGAATTACTGTGGAAAATATACTAATCATTCGTACCCAACTTACCCTTCTCCTCCTTGCATTCCATTCGAGAAGTTGGTTACAAAAGATGTCATATTATACTCAGGAATAGATATGGGAAGAAGTTGGAAATCCTTGTTTATGAGATTTTGGGTTGACGTCTGCAGAATCTGAAATCCACATTGTCTGGAAGTTTTAACACAGGCTGAATATCTGTTTTTAGACTCAGGGTAGCACATACCAGCTAGCAGTATTTAGTGAGTTTCTGCCCTAGTAACTTATTTTTGTGAACCTTAACGGATTTTCAGCTTGACATGTGAAGAGTGCACCCCTGTACGACTCATCGACTGCAATGACTTACTGGCAACAGGAGATGTGAAGGCTGCAGCTTTCAGGGCATTGTAAGTGGCAAAATCTCCAGATGGTGCATCATTATGAACATACTTTGCTACTTGAGTTTTCCCTTAATAGCAAACCAGTCAGCTCCTATAATGGAGTCTGTCTCTTTGTTTCAGATTTCTATGCAGACGTACACTTTGTATAAAGACTCGTCCTACTTTATTTCTTTCCGTATTCAACTCTCCTTGTCAATATTCCTCAGCTCCTAGTGAAAGGCTGCACAGCTGCAATGTTCTTGGTGCTGAGCACGACACAGCTAATGCAGTGCTACTCTCATGTGAAAGATAAATGGGGTGGAGATGGCCGAGGGAGGGCAGCAAGTTCAAAATGACATGAGAGCTTCACTTTTCCCCCATTTTGTGCCAGATGAAAAGGAACACCCTTCTCCTTTGCATCCGATGAAGTGAGCTGTAGCTCACAAAAGTTTATGCTCAAATAAATTGGTTAGTCTCTAAGGTGCCACAAGTCCTCCTTTTCTTTTTACCTTTCCCCTTGTTTTTTATCATCTGCACAGTTGCAGGTACAATGTCATGTAGCAAAGAGCATGCAACTGTTTTAGTGCTACAAAGAGCTCCTCTCTTCCTGCATCAAACATTGTAGTGATATTTACTTTACTAGGTTTTCTCCAAGATTTTTAGTTACGTGTGGAGGGAGATGGGCACTAAACAGATGTGAATTTTTTTAAGTAAAAGGGCTATTTTGGTATTATCATAGAATCAAAGGGGTGCATGGGATGTAGGGGTGGCTTTCAGAAGGGAATGTGTGAGAGAAAAGAGTAAAACCAAAGCATGCTGGGACTACTAACATCTAGGGCTCCAAGGAACAACACGGAGGACAACTAGTGCAGAAAAATCAGCAGTGAACATCAGACTTAGAAGAGGAACAGAAGGGAGGCTGTGCATGTGCAGTAATGAATTAGCAGATTGAAAAAAATTCAGCCTCTACCACAAATATTGGGATTTTTCCAAAGTCATGATGAGTTATGACTGGAGCACTGAAATATAAAAATAGAGACAATGTTAAGTATTAATGAGCAGAATGAATCTGCACTATTCAGAAATCTGATAAATGGACATCTTTAAATTTTATTGAAATGCTGTATACTGCAGTTAAGGTTGGGTCAGGTCCTTTATTAACAAAATCTCCCAATTTTTTTAAGGTTTAATTATTCAGCCAAAACAATTCCTGAATCTTGGCATACAGTACAAGTTCCCAGAAATTACCCTTTTTAAGTAATCTACCCATGAGATTGGACTCATTACAGCTCCCAGGTAACTAACATGCATTTTATAACTTTCACTAAGAGGGCTTTTAAAAATACGTATTTTTAAACTGGAGGGTAGGGAATTAAATATTTTAACATTAACATTTTAACAAACCAATAAGTCAGAAAGTTCCAATTTAAGCCACAAGTCTTATCCTTAACTAACATCAGTGTGGGGTTTTGTTTGATTTTAAACCACAGTTAGTTATGGATGGAACTTCTGCCTTAATGTTGAATTTCTTGGCTTTAGGTAGTTTTAGCCCAACCTTAACTTAAACAAAGATGTTTTGTATTCAGTGCCATATTGGATGTAGCAGGCAGTGCTTCATGTTGAAAAAGGGGGAGCTACTTTAAAAACTGCCTTCAAATGAATCCTGCATAAGGAAACATCCTCTAAATAACTATTTTGGGGTAGGTATGATGTGTGTAACTGTCCAAACTAGTTCCTACACCCTTGGATTGGATGAAGTAAACTATTTCCTGGCCTTGGGAATGAACCAACTCTGTGAACTCATGGAACCCCTATCAATTTTCAGGGACCTCCCTTGCAAGCAGGGCTTTTAGTGCATGTAGTTTTCACAGGTAAATGGAGGAGCTCTATTGCCTTTGGAAAGGATTTTCCATATGAGTGGGATGGCCCTGCCCTAATGTAGGCAGGATGGCCTACATGGGTGAAAAGGCTGTCATCTTGATGCAGGTATTTCCGTATGGGTATAATCCTGATCCCAATTAAGTCAATGGCTATACTCCTATTGATTTCAGTGGAGCCAGCATTTGACCCTCTGTCTCTATAGTTGCAGAGGGGCTTTCTATAAGGATGATGGGCCCAATTTTAATATTTGGGGAGGAGAGGGAGTGCTATCCAGGGGCAAGGGCCCAGTGTGCTAGATACAGTTACTTTTGCAAAGAAGCAACTAAATACTCCAAATGCTTTTATCCCATAAATATAAAAACGGAACATTTGATCCACAGCTAAAAAGGAAAACTACTGCCTAATTCAAAACAATCTCAATTCCTCTATATCACAGGAGGCACTGAGCACATTTGGATTATGGAGACATCAGACAATGGAGTCAATTTTCAGTGCAACTGATACATTGCAGGAGACAGGACTGTTTTGGATAAAAAGGCATTTTAGACCTATTGTGGAGGCACTACAGTAGGTTTCACGTACAACTATACATGACCACAGGGTGCTAAGTACAGAGAAATGTCACCTGAAGTACTATTTGTCCTACCCTTCCGACACAAAGAAGAATGGCCCATCATAGGAGGGAGGTAAAGTGTAAGGTCAGAAGGTTCTGGAGCAGCTGAGACAAAGAACTGGAGCTGGACAGTTGAAAAATCAGCCTCAAGAGGGGGAAATTATTGATAAGGAAGAAGAAACTCAGGAGTTGGTTCACATCTTAGGGGATGGGATAACTATAAAAAGAAAAAGGTTGCTATGTCTGGGTGTTTGCCAGAGGGGACACAGTGAAATTCAGTCAAGTGTTAAGTTCTAAAAGAAGAATGAAAGTTGGGGTTTAACAGTTATGTTGGAGGCAGCCGGTCAAGCAGAGAAACTGAGTCACAACAAGGTGAGCACTGGGTTCAGCACACCACCAGCGGGTGGCGGGGGGGAAGCCAATGAGAAGAGAGGACTTTGCCAACTCCGCATCCTCCTGAAGGGAGGCTATGGAAGAACTGTGGACTGCTGGATGAACAAATCGAAACGTAAGACTTGCATTCCGAAATGTTAGCGGGATGTCAAGTTAAATATCGACCGAGTTGGGTTAAATACAGTGAAGCCTGTACAAAAGGCCACAATTACTTGGCAATTTCCCCTCTTGACAGGCGGCCTCAAAGGATCTGGGGCAAAAAAGGGGGGCAGGGGGGAGGGATAGCTCAGTGGTTTGAGCACTGGCCTGCTAAACCCCGAGTTGTGAGTTCAATCCTTGAGGGGGCCATTGAGGGATCGGGGGCAAAAAAATTGGGGCTTGGTCCTGCTTTGAGCAGATGGGACGGGACTAAGTGACCTCCTGAGTCTCCCTTCCAACCCGATCTCCAAATCCACTGCACCGCCTCCACCCTCCTGAGGAGACCGAAGGCCGCGGACCAGGGCAGGTCTCACCATCCCCCGGGACCAACGGGTGGGCAGGGCGCAGGGGCAGCCGAGCCCGGGGCCAGGCGAAGGGACTGGCCGGCTTGCTCTGGTCCCGGGGGGTCCCAGCCCGGGGACCCCCACGGCTCCGGCTCCTGCAGGGGCGAGGCCCAGGCCCGTGCCGGGGTGGGGGGGGGCGTGGCGGTCTCCTCTCGCCAGGGCTCCTTCCCCTCGCACCAGCCGCCCTGGCCCCGGCTCCCCGCCCCGTGGGCGGCCCCGAAGGCGGGGGGCGGGTGACGCGGGGCCGTGTCCCGGCGGCTCCACCCCGCGCGGCCGGAGCCGAGGAGACGGAAGGACGGAGCCGCGGCCGCACCACCGCTTCCCGGAGCCCAACATGGCGCTGGCCGCCGCGGCGCCCTGAGCCCAGCCCCGGCCTCGCCTCGCCGCCCCGCGCCCGCCCGCCGCTGCCGCCGCCGGACCTTCCCGCCCCACCCCGCCGGGGCCATGGGCAGAGCGGGCGGCAGCCGCCGGCCAGGCCGCGCCTAGAGCCCCGCCGCCGGGCATGGGAGAGCGGCGCTAGGCGCCCCGCAGCGACCCCCCTCAGGTGAGCCCCGGGCCGGGGCCGGGGCCGGGCCGGGGCGGGGAGCGGAGCCCGGCCCGGCCTAACCAGCCTCCCTCCGGCTTTGTCCTTGCAGGCCCCGCCGCAGGCAGCCCCTCCCGGCCGGAGCCGGAGCCGGAGCCGGAGCCAGAGCCAGCCGCGGGCGGCGCCCGGCCGCCATGGCCCACTCGCCGGTGGCCGTGCAGGTGCCCGGCATGCAGGTGAGCGGGGCGGGCCCGGCGCGGGCGGGAAATGGAGGCCGGGGAGCGGGGCCTTGCCCGGAAGCGGCGCGGCCGGGCCGGTGTCGGCGGCGGGGGGGGCCGCGGGCGGCTCGGGCCGGGCGTCGGCTGCGGCCTGCGCGTGTCTGGCCCGCCCGGCCCGGCGTGACCAGGCCGCGGGGCGACGGGGCCCGGCCCGGCGAGTCCTTGGGCAGGACCTTGGGCGGGAGCGGGGGGGGCCGCCGCCCCCCACCCCGCTCCTGGCTCCCGGAGCCCCTCGGGCGCCGCGCCCGCCGGGGGAGGGGGGTCCCCTGACCGCGCTGGGGGGGCTCGGGGGAAGGCGGCGTCTCGGACCCCAACGCCTCGGTGGGGGCGAGTAGGGGGCGTTGCCTCGCCCCCCGCGGGGGCCAGGGCTGCCCCCTCAGCGCTCGGGGGGCCCCGGCTTTGTTCAGAGGCAGCCGCCCCCAAGTGCTGTTAAACCGAGTACTCCGGGTGCGGGGGCGCGTGTGAAACGGCGCCGCAGCCCAGCTGGCCAGGGCCGGCCAGACAGGCCGTCCCCGGCTCCTGGCACTGGGCCTGGATCGCAGGTTCCCGGGAGACCTTCTGTTGAATGGGAAGAGATGGGGAAAGCGGAGCCCTGCCTTCATCCAGGCCGGCAGCTAGGCTGCTCCTAGGAGGTGTCGGTCTGTTGGCAGTTCGCAGGCTGGGCCAGGCCGGGAACCTCCCTGGAAAAGGGGGTTTCTGTGTATTTGTTGCTGCAGCCTGAGCTGGGGCACTTGACAGTTCGCTCTCTTCCTTTTCGCAACTATAGCAGCCGTGTCCCCGCCTGGCCTTTCCCCTCTTTCGAACGTCCTAAAACAGATTTAGGGTGGGGTTTTCAAATGACCCTAAAGCAGTTAGGCACCAAATGCCCATTTCTATGGGATTTGCGCATCAAACTCCTTAAGCCTGGTCTATGCTAGGAAATTAGCTTGTTATAACTGCATCTCTTGGGGGCTCTGTCGACCTAGCTACTGTCTGTCCGGGAGGTGGACTACCCACCCTGACACGCCAACCCCTCCTGTAGGTGTAGATAGCATCTTCACTGCAGCCGTAGCACGGCACAGCTGCGTACCGGTTTATGTGTAGACATATCCTTATTTTCCTTTGAAAATCTGAGCCCTGTAACTTTCCCAAATGAATGTGATGATCCATAATATTGATGCTACAGTGTTTTTTCAAGACTGCAAGCCATTTCAGCCCCCCCCCACCCCCCCGAGATGTCCTATTATTGGTATGTCTTAGTTTTTGTAAAA